ATAATATAATAAAATATATTTATAGTAATACAAAACTATTTCTATCTTAGCATCTAGTAATTAGATTTTTATGATTTGGATTTGTTAGAATCCTCTTAATGAGAGGATTCTAACAAGTCCAAAATCATAAAAATCTAATTACTGTAATTTACTATATAAAGTACTTCTCTTAATCAGTACCCTTGATTTGTACCGGGTACAATTCAAGGTTATTAGATATAGTATTTTGTAAAATACTAGGGTACAAATCAATAACTACTTATAACGATCTATTTTTTTTTAACTTTTTATACAGTATTATTTAATTTTTCTAAGATTACTATCTTAGAACCATTTTATTTAAGCATTCGGAATTGCTTTGGATCATGTTTCACCAGCTTTTGTTAAAAATAATTTCAATTGTTCTAGTATATAATGTATATACAGTAAAGTCACTAATGTTCTTCTACAACTATTTTAAAAATATTTATATTCAGAGTAAGAAATATTTTTTGCGTATTTTAAATACTACTCAAATGCCTTTTTTGTTCTTGTCTGCATCTATGCTATTTTTGTAGCAGTTTTCTAATATTAAATTACTATTTCTATATGCAGAAATAGAATTTACATAAGAACCTTTATAAAGTTACGCAAATAAAAAGAAAAAAAGGAAAAGAATCTGTAGAAATTTATGAAGCTTTACCATATATAGCTTCAAAATTTTGCAAGAAAATCCACTCAACAAGATACCAAATATTTATTATTTTGGAATAATTATATAGGATTTTATTAGAAAAGTCGTATTTTATAATTATAAAGATAACAATGCAATAGGAATTTGAGAAGATTTAAAACTAGAGGCACAATATCATATTATATAAATCTCTTGAAGAAATGTTGGAATAAAGACCAAAAAAACGACCATGCAGATTTAGCAATTCAAGGTTTGACAAGTAGAATATAAAGACTATCATATATTATCAAAGATCAGATGGTAAGTTTATTTAAACTTTATTCAATTACAGTTATTAACTCTATTGATTCACAATATTTTCCATCTTATTCTGATTATAATAAAATTCAAATTCTCCATCTTGAGTTAAAAAATTTTGTTGAACCAAGAAACCTTGCGTAAAGTATGGCTGAGATAAGAAGCTTTTCTGAGACAAAATATTTTGTTGAGACAGAAAATATTGTTGAGACAGGAGGTCTTGTAGCAGGTGGCATTGTTGAGATAAAAGATACTGTTGAGGTAGAGGATTTTGTTGAGGTGGGAGGTCTTGTTGAGGTGGAAAGTCTTGTTGTGGTGGGAGAACTTGTTGAGGTAGAAAAACTTGTTGAAGCAGGAGGTCTTGTTGAGGTGAGAGAACTTGTTGAGGCAGGAGTACTTGTTGAGGCGGAAGGTTTTGTTAGAATAAAAATATTGTTAAAACAAAAAGTTTTATTAAATTAAAATATAATCAAATTTTTTACTGTTGCTAAAAATATATTCATCAACTTCGTTATTATCGATCTTATTATTTTTAACATGATCATAATCAAAAATTAAATCGTCCTCTAATCCATCAGTTGCAACTGAAATGCCACAACATTTAAAGAAATGCTTAATTAGCTAAATATCAATAGTATTCTATGCGTGCTTAATCTATTCTGCAAGAATATTATAGAGAAAACGTTTAATTTGGCCACTTTTAGTTAATTTTCTTATTTCTTGTGATACATATTCATCATATATATACTTGATCTATTAATATAAATAAAAAGATATATTAACATATACTAATAGTATTATAGTAAAAAAAAAAGTGACTCTTTGCTTTAAAAGACTTATTTATTGATATATTGAGTGGTTGAATTTTTAATATTAACCCTTCAGGAATAATTGCGATATTAGTATTTTTCTCAAAAATATTACTTTTAATAGAAGAAACTAAATGACTCTTAAAAGAATCTATTACTAATAACGATCGTAGATTTTCAAAACATGGTGCACAATTCTTCCAAATTTTTTCTATCCAATAATTCATTTCAATTTCATTCATCCATCCTTTTTTATTAGCTCTAATGATTACACTTGGCAAAAACTTAAGGCATAGACCATTTTTTAATTTAAAAATGATCATCAGTGGTAATTTTTTACCATTTGCTATATATGCAAATATGATAGTAAAACAAGATTTTTCATAACCGCAAGTTCTAATACTAATAGTCTTGCTTCCTTTATTGTCAATAGTTACATTACTCAGCATATCAAAAGCAAGAGGAGTTTCATTTATATTACCCATTAATGATAATAGGTAATCATGTTAGATATAACGGTATTGAACAAAATTTAAAAATTCTTGCTATTGTACTTCTAATTCTTCTAGTAACTTTTGTACAATAGTTGTTCTATGATAGTTACTAAAATTATGGCACTATAAAAAACCCTTGAGCTACTTGATACTCTATTTAGACTTGTTTATATTAGGATATTGAAAAGTATATTGTAAAAATTCTGCTAATATTGCTGCTTTTGCCCATACCATATTATGACTAACTGGTTTTAGCTTAGCATGTAAAGCTTGAACCTACTCAGCAAGTTCTGCTTCAAGATTAGGATAAGTTGATCGAGCACTAGTATTAAGATACTTAATATGAGGTTGAGCTAATAATAGCTCTTCTTGCTTATTTCTCTAATCTCAAATTTGCTTGGGTTGGACCTAAAATCTATTAGCCATTTTATATATAGTGGTATCAGAAACTTTTTCAAAATAAAAAATAATAAAAAGTTTTTCTCAGGCTATCTACTATCATTTTTTTTTTGCTGGATATTGGTTGTAAAATTTTTTTCCATAGTCAAGTATTGCGAAAGGTAGTTTTTTTTTTTAAAAGTTAGTTTTAAGAAAAGTTTTAAAAAATGCAATTTAAAAAAAACAAACGCAGACACAAAACAAAAGTTTTATATACAGTATTTTATAAATATAAAAAAAAACAATTGCAAAAAAAAGGTTATTATAAAAAAAAAAAAAAAAAAAACCAAAATTTTTTACAAAAAAAAATTTCTTATAAAAAAAAAAAAGCATATAAAAAAGTATATTTGACGCTCTTATAAATTATAAATATTTTATTATAGAACCATATCTAAAGCTTATTCGATAAAATATAAAAATAAAATATTTAGTATTCAAATAACTTTGAAAGAATACAAAAAATTAATATGATATATTTATATATTATTTCCACTTAGTATATCTTCTTTACAAAGTACCCTCTATATAAGATATCCTTTACTACACAGTATACCTGGGAGTACAAATCAAAATTTTGTCATATGAAACATAAAGTACCTGGGTACTTTATACAGTAAATTATGGTACTAGATGCTAAGATAAAAATAGTTTTGTATTACTATAAATCTAGGTTTGTCTATTTCTACTAGTATTTGTAGTTGATCCAAATTTATCGACTAGACTAAGTCGATATTTAAAAATTAGCTTAGCTAGCTAAGCTGTAGTCGATCATCCTAATTGGTTAATTAAAGACACGTAATTTAAAATAGATATGATTGATGCGTATGTACTAATATTTGCAGTTGATCATGATTTATTACTTGACTAAGTTGATATTTAAAACCGAAGTCGATTATCTTTGTTTAATTTTGTCTCATATTTTATGTTCATTGAATTTCTTTTTAGAATTTTTGTGAAAGAATAATATAAACTACCAAATTGGTCTAAATTTAATTAGTTACTATAATTTTTAATATAGTCTAACATAAAGTTAACTAAGCTAATTTTTTAAAAAATCAGCTAATTAAGCCTGGCTAAGCCAATAAAATTAACTAATACAAATTGACTACAAACACTAATTTCTACTATAGCTTTTTGCTATTTCTACTATAGTATAATAAAAAATCTATTTTTAGTTAACCAATTAATTGATGATTCTCCAGTGAACTGATTAATTATCTTAGTGTAATACAACACAGTTCTATATATAAATCTCTTAAGACAGAAATGTAGCATTCATGCAAGAAAAACTTTTTTTCTTACTAAGTAAATC